GGAGAGGCAGCTAAGAGGGTGAAAGCAAGGCTAGAGAAAGATATACAATAACTCCACACTTGTGTCAGCCCAGTATTTGACATCCCTGGCAACTCAGGAGAAAGGGCTGTGAATTTGTTTACCCATGGCCCAGCATCCAGCAGGAACTCAATACGTGTTCCAGAATAAAGCGCCCACCTGGGTGGAAGATGATTGCCTAAAGGTCCAGCTGGGACGTAGCTGGGACCTGCCCTTGTAGCTATCTACTTGTGTTGGTGAGGTAGGAGGGCAGTAAAATGCTTCCTTCAAATCTATGCCCAGGAATTAGTGAATGTGCCTGCCCAGGACAGGGTACTGCTACTTCTTGGCCAGGTGACCTTGGGCATGTTCTAGTCCCCCTAGGAAAGAAGATATGGAATGCCAAAACCTTTTGGTGTGCCAAGCTTGTAATTCCTACCTTAACCTTGTACAACAGAAACTGTCCCAACCCTGCTTCAAGAGTGAGGAGAGGATGAGGCAAAGAGGGAAATTGACTTACCCAAGGTCACACAGCAAGGAGGAGGCAAAGCAAAGATTTGACCCATGCTCTTCTGAGTTTCAAGTTTAGGATTGCCATATTGTGCTTCTCTGGATCTCAGTCTTTACATCTATAGAGTTGGGAAGGGCACCGACAGTGGGATTTCATGGAGGACAGTAAGTCAGTCCCTTCGGACCTACTGTCAGAGAAATGGCTACTTCTCTTCCTTCCCAGCAAGCGGCATAACTAGAGCAACATTAAATAAACCCACCTCCCACAAAATACTATCCCTAGGATTGGCTGTGAGAGATTTCTCAGGTCACTTGGAATTCAGAACTGTCTTTTCATCCCTGTCTCTTACTTATGTTGGATGCTAGGACCGAGTGTGGGCCCTAGCAAATCCAGCATTTGAGGACCTGTGCATCCTGAAGGCTTCCCATGACCTTGAGAGTAGAAAGCATGCCCATGCCTTTTCCTGTTGATTGTTTCATGGCCTGCCAGGTAGCCCCTTGATCCCAAGCTGTGTTGACCCAGCTCCAATCTCCTTCAATTGCATTCCTGAAGCCAGACCCAATGAGAGAGAGCCCTTTTGTAGCCTTGCCTGGTCCTAAAATGAAAATGTGGCAACAGGCCTGTCCTTATCCAAATAGGAGCTGTCCCTTCTACTCAGTTGGGCAATGTCACCAATTCTTTACTTGAGGAATAGTAGTTAGCCCTTGATGAGATGGAAATGACCTTAAAATGACTTTAGATGACCTTGAAATGACTTCATCTGCAAAGAGTAGCTCCTCCCCCAGCTAATGAGAGCAGCCCCTCCCCCAGCTGATGAGGTCACTAAGCGTTCACTGCTCCAGGATTATTTGGTGGCTTTTTTTTTTAATTTAATTTAATTTAATTTAATTTAATTTTTTTTTTTTTTTTTTTTTTTTTTTTTGCCAGCTTTGTCCTGTTCCCTGAAAGTCATTGTCAGGTAGTGGGAGAAAGCTTAGCCCCTGAGAGGGAAGAGGCTGGGTGGCCAGATTCAAATCCCCAAATAGGGCTTCCTGGGAGAGGTGTCTTTGTGAACTTATTAGACACCCAGCCCTGTCTACTCCAGACTGACCCTGAGCCCTTGGAGGCCGAGGCACAGTGGAGCCCATGCACAGTAGAGCCCCGTTTCCTGGTACAGGCGGTAGGTGTGAGCACAAGCTTTGATGCTTGCACAGAGAACTGGAATTCAGATGTAAACGGAGGAACAGTTTCCGAGAACCCTTGCCCCCACGCCAGTATTGCAACCACAGCAATAGCTGTCTTCGCCTGAGTACCAGCAATGTGCTGGGGAATGTGCCCTGTGCCGCACTTTGATGGCAGTGTTTAATTTTCACAAGCTCCTGTGAGGTGTGCATACTGTCCCTGTACAGGTAGAGTAACAGCGAAGGACACGAAATGGATTTGAACTCAGCCAAAAAGTCCTCTGTGCGAGATACCCTCTGCTTGTGAAGTGTAGGCACAGCCCACTGGAGAAACTGCAGTGTCTTTCCTTCGTCCCCAGCACCTGAGCCTGACCACAGCTTGAGAAGGCCAGATTAGTGGTTCTTGACATAGGGGTAAGATGAAGTTTGGAGACATCTGCTGTTATGTTGCAGAACTGAGATCCTGGCTGAAGTCGCCATCCTATTCCAACAGATCTGTGGCCAGCATTTCATTTAAAGCTGGTTATGGTGGCCTGCACGCAGCCGCCACCTTTCCCAAACTCTCGGGTATCTCTTCATTTGTCCCCACCACCTCCCCGCTCAGGAAGCCATTGAGAACAGCCCGAGGAAGCCATCAGTTCCGTTTACCGTGATCTGACATGACACAAAAAGTGGCATCCGATTCCATGTGAGCTGCCTGCAGCGAATAGCCTTCTATTTTTATATTTCTCACAAATTGGAAATTACAAGGAGACCAGGTCTTGGAGAATGATTGGCAGTGGCACACGGGAGGTGGGGGAGATGCACAGCTGGGTGGAACGGAGCACATTGGGATGTTCGGGCCCCCTCAGCTGGTAAAGGGGCCCCAGGCGTCTGGGGCTAGGTATAATCCCGACACCAAAGCCAGGTAGGGGCGGCAGGAACTGGTGGCTGCTCGGAACAGTGATCTTGCACTCTCCTCACCTGTCAGCTGCTTGATGTCTGGTGTCTTGAGATAGCTGAGCCCTAGACAGGGGGACATTCAAGGTCAAAGATGCCCTGGAAGGCATTGGCAGCAGGTTGCCTCCCTGGCCTTATTGCTTGAGAAGAGGAGAGAGAGAGAGAGAGAGAGAGAGAGAGAGAGAGAGAGAGAGAGAAAATGCTGTTGCCATGAGGAGATGAGTGGGGACACTTGGAGTCAGTGTTTTGGTCAACTGCAGATTGATGCTGACCACACAACACCTGGCTATCAACATAGCATTTTACAGTTTGTAAAGCATGCCCTTGCCGGTGGGATGGGGAAGTAATCTGGGGGTAGAAAGTATGGACCTAGAGAAGAATCTTCCCTCAACCAAAGAGAATCTTGCTTTAAGCTAGGTTTCTTATAAATCTAAATCTGAACGACCGACCTTGACCTAGATGAGTTCTCTTTGCACAAGGGAGAGAACACTCTCTCATCTAATATGCAGAATTTCAGTTTCTGAAGCATTTTCTTAGTTGAACCAGGCACTCCAAACAAAGACAGTTATTACCCTTAATATCCTCATCTTCCGGAGAAAATGAGGCTCAGAAAGCTCGGGGCCCTCACCTGTCCCCTGGCTTCCCAGGCAATGTGGGTCCCCTTACTGAGCCTTTTTTTCCTGATAAGGAGCCCGAGGAAGCACCATCCTGGCAGGAAAGGAAACCACAGCATCTGGGGACTGAGGTGGGAGATGGCACAGGTGGCCTTAGCCCAGAGGCAGCAGAGTGAAGAGCCCTTCCTGTATTTGTTTGAGCCTTACCTGGACTCTGGCCAGAACATTTTGTCATCTAGGTCATGTTCAGAGTTCATGTTAGGGTTCAAAAGTGTGATCCTTTGGCCCCAGCAGTGGCCAGATGTGGTAGAGGGGAAGATGTGTGTTCTCAAACAGGCCTGCATGACACAGGTGTGCTCAGCTGAAGGAATTGGTGTGACAGGAACCCCCAGCCTTTGGGAGGCTATGCAGAGAGGCCTGTGATCTCAGGATCCGGGATGGGTGTGGAACAATGGTCCTATGT